TAATTCAGTATTTTTATTGTTCATTGATCTTTCCTTCTCTTCCTTTTCCTGCTTTGATCTCTATGTGGAATTTTAATGGATATCGGCCAAAAAAATTTGTTGATGTGCCTTAATTTTTCAATCATATATTGATTTGGAAACAGATGGAGCATGCTACCTGTCTCTTTAAAGAAAAACAGCAGTAAATACAAAAACACAACTCTTAACAGTATCTGCTTAAATACTACCACATACATTTTCAAAACATACCACCACTGAATTTCTGCTGCTGAAATGTAATATACTTGTGCAAAACATGAAGCAAACTAAGCTGTGCTGACTCTGCATTAAAGAACAAAACCAAGAGGCTTAAAATGGCTAATAAGTTGCACCTCGATCAAATCATGGTTTCATTTCAGAGGGTTGTAAAATCAAGAGTTTCTAGCCCTTCTATCGGCATTCATGCAGATTCCAACATCTTTTTAGTTGAGCTCTGATTATTCAAAAGCGCCCCATGCTAGAAATTATATAATTGATCTGTTACATTTCTGACTCTCCCACTTCAGAAATTAGCGCGAAGCTGGGAAAGGCCATAGATACATCCCTGGAAGAAACAAAATGGTCATGCTGGAAGTCTATTATAGTAATCAATGTTATCCTAGAAAACATAAAGCCATGCATATCATATGAACCCATGATTTGAAACCATGCTCAAGGAAAAAAAAAACAAAAACTTAAACTCAACAAACTTGACTGCATCAGCAAGTTGACTGATGGAACAATAGCTATCAAAGAGGAACGTTGAAGGTGCGAGGGTTTTTAGTTAAGTTTTTATGGGATTAAATGTGAAGAAAGTTCACCAGAAAATGCAGTGATCACCGATCCAGGTTCAATTTTGGGGCACTGTCAAGATTAATAGTTTTCCAGTAACAAATTCAGATGCAGGGTTCCTTTGCACAATTTACAAACTGATTTTGGAACTTGCTACTCACTTTAAGTAAGGTAGAGTCATGTTCTTGATAATAGAAGGATTCTTCGACACAAATTCCTTCCATTCTTCAGGATCAATTTTTCCATCGTCTTTTGAATCAGCATCACTAAATGTCTGTCGAGGAAACCATTCGAAAAAAAAGAAATATCAGAATGTTTCAATCACATAAGCAAGAATTAACAGATTCGACAAGACCAAACCAATTGGAACCTTATCAACAACTGTCTGGACGACATCATCTGACAGTTCCAGATCCGATTCCTGAAGAAGGGCCACTACCATCTCCTTCAACTATCAAATAATCCAAAATTTAGGCAGAATATAAATTTGAAAACACAATCATTGCTAAAATAATCATTTTCATTTTTCAAAACATTCGACTCAATTCTCTGATTTTATAATTCTTCTGAAGTTCGTGAATGTAGGATTATGGGGGAAAAAACTTTAAACATTCAAGTTCTCAGCATATTATAGGAAATATACTATATGGTATGCAAGGGAAAGAAACGGAACACACCTCCTCCTGTTCAATGAAACCAGTTTGCCTTAGATCATATAATCTGAAAGCAACTGCAGTAAGATTCTTCCCTGATTAGTAATTTATTCATCACCTGACTAACAAAAACCAAATTGACATGCAGAAGAAAATGGATATTTGTGTGTGAGGGTGGGCGGGTGCAGGTACACCTACATGCATTATAGTCGAGGGAAATATTAACCTTACAGTAGATTTTTTCTTCAACTGGAGCATTTGGATGGAAGACACCCAAAGATTGAACGAATTCTCCAAACTCAATTACTCCATTGCACTTGACATCAAACAAATCAAACATCTGCAGAAGTACCAGAAGTAGATGCAACTTAGAAAGAAGGTAAAGGCCATAGCACCAGGCGGCTGCACCATGACCATATGAGGAAGAATCTCTAGCATTGTGAATTATTAAAATTCTCTGAGAGGAGCCATAAAAGGCCTGAAAGATGCACCACTATCTATACTTCTTCAGCACCAACATAAAGCTAAAAGCAAACTATCCCAATATCATAGAATTTGTTGGCATACATACCCTGTTTACAAACAGATTCTTCTTATTGTTGTTCCTGAAGAGCGCAAACTGAAGATCTTCCTGACAAGAAGCGAGCAGACATTAAAATGATATCACCAAGCCATGATTGTATACATGCTGAAATTAACACACATCATTTTAAAATGGCACCTAATATCCATACCTTGCTAATAAATCCATCGCCAATGACTGCACTACTTAATTTCTTAAAAAGTTCATGTAAGGCCTCTACTTCACTTACAGTAACTGCAATAAACAAAAATCAACAGTTAACAGTTTCTTGTCTAGTGAACTATCAAATAACTATTTCAACTTAATAATTTAAATTTTTAAATAAAATTTCAAGATATGATTTATATTATTTTTTAACGTATCCTTTCAAGTTAAAATTCTTTAAGCTCGAAACTTGTATAGATCCACGTTATTTTATATTTAATTTTTATTAAATAAATAAAAGTGATCAAATTTGAACTTGTGATAACTTAATCATTAAGACTCTAATATTATATCAAAAAAATATCTTAACCCAATCATTTAAATTTTTAAATAAAATTCCAAAATATAATTTATATTATTATTTAACATTTAGCTGTTTCATGCAATGATTTTCACGATATGAAATGGTACTTTTAGCAGGGCAAGCAACTAACTCTGAGCAAGCTGTTTCTAGCAGAAACTTAAACTAATAATTAGGAACAGAATTGTTTTTTCCTTCTCCCCTTTTCCCCTAACAGCATCATATGCATGCTTCTTATTGTTTCAATATTGTCAAAAAAAGGTTAATATACAGGAACCAATCAAGGCACTCTCTATCCATCCATGTCGTAAGACAAAAAACAACAGCTGTCCAGAAATTAGTGGAATATCCATTGAAGCATAGCTAGGAAGTAGGCTCGTTGATAATGCATACTCACAGGGTGTTCCAGAAGCAAGAACTGTCAGCTCTTTACACCATGCTGTCGTTTTTGATCTCTTTGACTGGCAGCAGCCCATGATCAAGACAACCAGCACGATCCACTTATAAAACTTTTTGGAAATCAGCAGGCATGCCAACGGTGGTTTCTACTGAAAAAAATCCCACCTGGCAATTCACAAAGAAATACGCTAGATTGGAATAATTGCTAAGCTTGAGTATCTGCAGCCTTTAACCTGCTGAGAAAGATCAAATCCACAAAACATAGACATATATCTGGTCATGATCAGGAACAACCAAAAAAAGTAAAAAATCAAACCAATTGATCCACCATAGCTGAAAGCACAGAGATCAAGGTTAAAGCAAAAATTCTTACCTTGAATTGCCGGGTTTTTGGAATCTTATGGATATGCCTCTTCGTTTAAGGATGTAAGAGCTCAACTTAAGTGGTAAGATCAAGAAGACGGTGTCATCAGCACAAAGAAAACCCACAAAGCAGACCTTTACTTGTCTATGGCAAGACTCCTCCGGTCAGGTATGATGAGTTTTCAGCAACCATTTTCTTCCATGTCACTGCCAGTTGACATTTGTCCAAAACGTACTCTCTTTTAGCCACACGTCCAATTTGTAATCTTTTTGAAAGCTTGCGTCTATAAATCTACATCCTCAAGAGCATAAATTAATATAAAGATATAGTTGAGTTTTCAAAACTTTCGAACACGACAAAGAATTTCACAAGTGTTATATGGTACTTACTACCAAACAAAGTCGTAAGCTGACATGACCATCCCTTTGTAAAGTACAAAAAGCTTAGAGATGGATTTGAAAGGGAGCAGAACTATATGAAGACAATTATCCACTAATTCCCACAAAACAGATAAAGAAAAATTGGACTCAACCCATAATTTGGTTCAAGTTTTGGGATGGGCTGGACAAGGGAAGGTATATTGTTTTAATTTTTTTTTTTAAAATTACAATCATAATATTTTGTTTTTTTTTTTAAATTCAAATCAAGTTTCATTTAACTTTTAACATGATTAATCAAATTATAAATTAATCTATCAAATCACTTAAACTTACTTAGATTAACTCTCAATTTAGCACAATGTAAAACCTAGTTTTAGCCAAATTTTAGACCAAAGAATCATTAGATTGATCGCAGAGTTGTGACAGGTTTTCTAAGAATGCTCTCCCTCACTCCTTGTATAATGAAAACATTGAAATTATATTTTCTTTATTGGATATAGAGTTATTATAGAATATTGAGGAATGCAGTAATATATAATTTAGATTATTTTTGATGTGTTAATTTTAAAAATAATTTTTTAAAAATAAAAAAATTATTTTAATATATTTTAATATAAAAATTATTTAAAAATCAACTATAACTATATTTTTAAAGATACATATTTCCTTCCGTCTTGAAATCGATTTTGAAAATGATGGCACATTTCATCGAGTGATGATTCGCCGGGAGAGATATCATACATGTGCAATAGGCTCAAATAATACCTGTCATTTGACAGGATATTTTTCTCAGTATGCCATTAGTTGTTAAATCCTATTCGCCTGTCTCGTGCACTGACCTAGAAATGTAGTTTTTGAAACCTGATATGAACAGGCTTCTTAGTTGAATTAATGAAGACATTTACATGAGAAAACTTGATAGACTTTGCTAAAATAATATCTCAAGGAAAGTGATGATGGATTGGCAAGCAACGAGGCTCGCATCCTGAAACTTACAGCTAGAATCCACTATGCACACCTGTTGGTTAACATTTCAAAGGTTCTCATAACCCGTCTTCAAGTTATATGTCCTGATCGGCCATTGCTAAATAAGGAAGGTTCCCTTCAAGGTTTTTGCATGCATGGTTAAACCCATGTTTGATCTGTACTGTCCAACTAAATTATGGAGTTCTCCTGTAATCTCTAAATGGATTGCTTCAATTTACATATTCAGATTATATATAAAGTATGTGATTCTATGAAATGACCTCTGTGATGCAATTATTGTATTAAACTCAATTTAAAAGATTAAGGAAGACAACTACTAGTTGTCACCGCCTAGCCGCCAGCTATATGCCGCCAGCCGCCAGCCGCCAGCCGCCTTCACATTCGAAGTTTCATTTTTTATTACTTTTAATTTGTGTATGAATAGACAACTAAGTTTATACAATTATGTATGGAGAGATTTGAGAGAAATACTAGAGAGAAAGAAAGTAAAAAATGTCATGTATTGAGTTTTTGTTTAATTAATTATAAGCTTTTGTTCTTGAAATAAAACAATGTGTTTGATCTCCTTTGAGTTTTTCAAAACCACCACCAGTGCTTTCTCCCATCAACAATTGGTATTAGAGCACCGTTCGTCCGAAAATATAAGAGGTTTTGAGATATATCTGATTTTTCACATTTGTTAAAAACAATTTTTGATCATTCCATATTGTAAGGATCATCTATACAAACTCACTAGTGCAAAAATCAGCTTCATCAGAGAAGGAGGTAGCCCATACGTGCTGCCTAAAAGTCCAGAACAATAGCCTACGCGCAGCCGACGCGCCTAGAGGTAGACGACAATTGGAGTCCACGCACGTCATATATTGAGCCGTATAAGCCGCCTTTTAAGCCGAGTCACAAGCTGCGCTGAAGAATATTCTCAGTTCAACCCCAGTGAACTGCCCGACATACATAATTGGTTTTTTAACTAGTTCACCCTATTTTTGACCTATTTTCAACAAAGTCAGACTGATTCCCTACTTTTTTGAGCATTTTAGATGTATCTACAGTGTTTGTTTTGCCAAATTCAACTTATAAAAGGCGATATAGTCATTCAAAGAGAAAAATGACTACAGAAAATGCATAAACACTCATCCCGAAGCTAATCAAAGAAAACGATAATAGTTGGTGCATCATATTGAAGGCATTTCATGGTTCACAAGAGTGTATAAAGATTGTGCAATATGGTTATGATGAACCAGAGTCCAAAGAAGTAGAAGATGCTTTACAAGAGGCACAAAAACAAGTTCTCAAAGCCAAAAAAAAGAAAGACAACAAAGTAAAGACCATCATCTATCAAGGTTTTGATGAAGCCATATTCAAGATTATTGCTTTCACAGAAACATTAAAAGAGATATAGGAGACTTTCTAACAAAAATACAAAGGTGCTGACAGAATCAAGAAGATTCGTCTCCAGTTTTTGCGAGGTGAATTTGAATTATTACAAATGAAGCCCTCAGAATCTATTTCTAATTATCACACAAGAATTATGGTGATAGTTAATCAGATGAGAAGAAATGGAGAAGCCCTCACAGATGCTCAGATTACTGAGAAAATTTTGAGATGCCTAGATCCAAAATTTGATTTTGTTATTGTTGCTATTGAAGAGTCCAAAGAAGTGGACACATTGACATTTGATAAGCTTATGAGTTCTTTGCAAGCTTATATGCAAAAGATTGTAAAAAGAAATGAAAATAAGGTAATTGAGCATGCCTTACAAGCAAAGTTGCCTCTCAAAGACTGATATGAGCAAGGGGAGACTTTAACAAGTGGATATACCACTCGAGGAAGAAGTTAATAAACACGAGGAGGATTTCAGTAATTTCAAGGAAAAGGTTCTTGGAATACAGGTTTTGGATAAAGAGGTGGTAGAAACACCACTAGAGGAGGTCGAGGACAACAAGCATTCACTCTTAGAGGAAGAGGAGGTGGTTACAATAACCGTGACAAGAGGAATATCCAGTGTTATAATTGCAATCAATTTGGGCACTATAACATTAAATGTCAAAGGAACGCTCCATTAGAGGTATGTGAGTAAGCCAACTATATAGAGGAGGATGCCAACAGCAGAGGAGCAGTTGCATTATTTGTCCAATAAGGACTTGGTAAGAATTAAAAGAATATTTGGTATCTAGATTCTAGAGCCAGCAATCACATGTGTGGTCAATAAGATCTATTTGGTGATATAGATAAGACCATACAAGGTCTAGTCACTTTTGGAGATACCTCAAAAGTTTCATTCAAAGGTAAAGGCAACATCCCAATCAAGTTGAAGAATGACGATCATAGCTACATCGTCAATGTTTACTATATCCCAGCTATAAAGCAGAACTTGGTGAGTATAGGTCAAGTTATGGAGAAAGGTTATACATTTTTCACGAAAAATTGCCATTTGATAATTACAAACTATAATGGGAGATTAATTGTCTATGTGAAAATGTCCAAGAATAGGATGTTTCCTTTAAACATTCAATATGATGCAACAAAGTGTTTAAGTGCCATCACCAACAGTGAAGAGTGACTTTGGCATCTAAGACTTGGACATCTGAATTTCATAAATTTGAAGATGTTAGGAAGCAAGAAGATGGTCAAAGGTATGCCCTACATTGATCATCCATATGAAGTCTGTGAGAGTTGTGTCCTTAGCAAACATCACAGATCCAGTTTTGCTAAAGAAATCAACTAGAAAGCAAACAAGCCACTGGAGTTAGTGCACACAGATATGTGTGATCCTATAAAGCCTATATCGACTAAACAAAATAGATACTTTCTTACTTTCATTGATGATTTTAGCAGAAAGACATTGATATACTTTCTGAAGAGGAAGTCAGAAGTGTTCAATTATTTTAAAGCAATTGTTGAGAAGCAAAGTGGCTATAAGATCAGAACCGTGAGATTTGATCAAGGTGGAGAATATACAGCAAATGACTTTGAAGCCTTTTGTACACAACAAGGCATTAGACATCAAACAACACCAACTTATACACCACAGCTGAATGGTGTAGTTGAGAGAAAGAATTGAACGATTCTTGACATGGCAAGAAGTCTACTCAAAGCAAAAAAGCTGCCTAAACAATATTGGGCTGAAGCTGTATCATGTGTAGTGTATCTACTGAATCGCTGCCCAACTAGAAGTTTGCAAGCTGTCACTTCATAAGAAGCATGAAGTGGTCACAAACCAAGTGTTACTCATCTTTGAGTCTTTGATTGTATGGCATATGTAAAGATCCCAGATGCAAGAAGGACCAAACTCAATGATAAAAGCAAGAAATGCATCTTTGTCGGATACAGTGATAGAAGGATGGGATACAAGTTGTATAATCCTATCACAAAGAAGGTAATTATGAGTAGAGATGTTATCTTTGAAGAAGATAAAACTTGACAATGGAATGCTGACTAAGAAACAATCAAATAGATCAGCACTGATTTGATCCTTTAAGATGAAGAAGTACCAACAATACTTGTAGAAGGTCCGATATTATCAGCAGATGAGCCACAAAGTTCAAACATAGATTCCCTGTATTCAACAGGAGAAACACATCAGAATCATTATTAACACCATTATCAGCATCCTTATTAGAAGGACCAAGAAGGATGAAAAATCTAGAAGAGCTATATGATGCCACTTAAATCATGGAAGATACAACTCTATTTTGTTTTTTTGCAGATAATAACCTATTTAGCTTTAATGAAGCTATCACAGAAAAGAAGTGGATAGAAGCAATGGATGAAGAAATACATGCCATTGAGAAGAATGATACCTGGAAGTTGACTTATCTACTAGAAAACAAGAAAGCAATAGGTGTCAAATGGGTCTATAAGAAAAAGAAGAATGCAAAAAAAGAAGTGCAAAGATACAAAGAAAGATTAGTGGCAAAAGGCTACACACAATGAAAAGGCATTGACTATGGAGGAGTATTTGCTCCAGTAACCCGGCTAGAGGCAATCAGACTGATGATCTCACTGGTTGTACAACATAGATGTAAGATCTATCAACTCGATATGAAGTCAGCATTTCTGAATGGCTTCCTAGAAGAAGAGATCTATGTTGAACAACCACTTGGATATATTGAAACTGAAAATGAAGGCAAAATATACAAGTTGAAGAAAGCCCTTTACGGTTTGAAGCAAGCTTCGCATGCTTGAAATACTAGAATTGACAGGTATTTTCAAGATAATGGATTTGAAAAATGTCCATATGAACACACAATATATGTGAAGAAAAAAAACAGATGACATCATATTATTTGCGTGCTTATATGTTGATGACTTGATATTCACCGGCAACAAACCTACCATGTTTGAAGACTTTAAAAAAAGCATGGTACATGAGTTTGAGATGACAAACATTGGTCTGATGACACATTTTCTTAGCTTATAAGTGGTGTAGAAAGAAGAAGGGATTTTTGTATCCCAAAGCAGTTATGCTAAAGATATTCTTGAAAGGTTCAAGATGAAAAGCTGCAATCTGGTATCAACTCCAGTTGAGAATGGAATGGAATTGAAGAAGAGTAAAGTTGAAAATATTGATCCAACTTACTTTAAAAACTTAGTAGGAAGCTTAAGGTACTTGACATGTAATAGATCGGAGCAGATATATGAAGACACTAGACCAGTCTCACTTGAATGTAGTCAAAAGAATTCTTTGCTACATCAAAGGCATAATAAATGAAGGTATGTTTTATACCTCAAGTAAAAACTTCAATCTTGTTGGCTACTTGAATAGTGATTGGGATAGAGATCTAGATGAAAGGAAAAACACAACAGAGTTTGTCTTTTTCATGGGAGATATATCTTTCACATGGTCATCCAGAAAGCAATCGATAGTAACATTATCAAGCTGTGAAGCTGAGTATGTTGCTGTCAACTCAACTATATGCCATTTAATATGGTCAAGGAATATGTTGAAGTTTTTGGGATTTCCTAAAAAAAATCCTACAGAGATATATATTGATAATCGATCAGCGATTGCATTGGCAAAGAACCCGATGTATCATGAAAGAAGTAAACACATTGATACACATCATCACTTTATCCAATAGTATGTAAAGAATAAAGAAGTCGAACTGATATACTGCAAAACAAATAATCAAGTTGTAGCTATTTTTACAAAGCTATTGAAAAGAGAAATTTTGATCAAATTGAAGTTCATGCTTTGAATGACACCTCTTGATTGAGTTTAAAGGGGAGATTTGTTGTATTAAACTCAATCTAGAAGGTCAAAGAAGGCAACCACTAGCTGTCACCGCCCAACCACCAGCCACCAGCCACCAGCTATATGCCGCCAGCTGCTTTTACACTTAAAGTTTGATTTTTTTTTACTTTTAATTTGTGTATAAATAAGCAGTTAAGATATATAATTATGCGTGGAAAGATTTGAGAGAAACACTACAGAGAAAAAGAGTAAGAGAAGGCGTGTATTGAGCTTTTGTTTAATTAATTGTAAGCTTTTGTTCTTGAAATAAAATAATATATTTTATCCCCTTTGAGTATTTTAAAATCACCACTAGTGGTTTCTCCCACCAACAGCTATTACATGGGTACCAATAGATTTTAGATTTTTTTTTAATTTACCAGTCAATTCTTTTTAATTATCTCTGCAATTTCAATCGAATATGTTTATGTAATCTCCATCTCTTCTGTCCTTGGAATGAGATGTATGTCGTATTCCATCGTAAACTTGAAGCAATTACAGAAATATTTGAACACAAACAGATTTAATAGGCCCTTCAATAGTCGATCATTCAACCATTTTCGACAGATTTCATTTCTTATCATACACTAATTTGTAAGCATTGAACATGCTTGAAACTTTTATCACTAGCATATATAAAACAGTTCAAGTGCTGCTTCAAAGAGAAATAACTGTTAAGACAAACTTCTTCCAAGTACCACCCCAGAAACTATATACATTGTCTAAACACTTCGCGAAATTTCTGATGCTGCAATGCAATTTACACATGCAAAACGTAAGCTGAACTAAGCTGTGCCAATTCTGCATTAACGAAGTTTATATGACGTCAAATAAGTTGCACCCTGTAGACCAGATCTCGGCTGCACTGAGGAGGTTGTGATTAACCTGAAGTCTGTGTACCTTTTGTATCGACACTCATGCAAATTCCAACATCTCCCAAATAGAGCTGGTTTAAAATGCACGGATCACCATTGCTAGAAAAGACATGATTGATAACTTTCTGCTACATTTCTGAATCTTCAACTTCAGTTTTTGACACGAAGCTGGGAAACGCCAAAGTTAAATCCCTGGAGGGGAAAAAAAAGAGGAGTGCGTAGAGTTAATAACTTGAATTTCAGAGCTACATTCTAGACTGATCGTACTATAGTAACCAGGTTGTGAACAATTCACAAACTGAGTGAACTTGTTACTGTTGGGAAAACTCGGAACAACCGGACACCAATTTACCCGGATCAATTCAGCGGAATACAATTACAATTCACAAGTCCCAATTCTTTCCCTCTTTGTGCAGTAAAACATAATCAAACAATGATGAAAATAATGCAAATAATCACAAAATCAACACCAAGATTTTTAACGTGGAAAACCCGATGTGGGAAAAACCACGGGACCGTAGTCCACCCAAAAACTTCCACTATCAACAAATAATGGGTTCACAATCATTCTTCCTCAGATTCAACTAAGGGATACAACATATATATCATCAAGAACAACTTATTCTTGGATTACAACAAGATTAAAGGAGAATTATTTGAGAAAAACTTACAAAACTGACAGCCCCGTTTTCTGTCAAAACGGCCAGCTTCCACACCACCAATCTTCGATCCAACCGTCCAGAATGAAGATCAACGTGTTTAGAAGCGTCTGTCAAAATCTCAGCCTGATCCAACGGTAAACGAGCTAGAAATCGAAGAAAGAGCACAAGCTGCTCTGCTGCCTCTTCTTCTCTTTTTCTCTCTTAATTTTCTTCTCCTCTCTTCTAATTTCAATCTTATTGCTACAGTACCCAAACCACACTAATATTAACACTAAGAGACAGCCATCACATGACATTTAATGTGATGGTCCCACCATCACATGGTGTGGGACCATACACAACAAATCTCCCCCTCACACAGCATGTGAGGAATTCGCCATACCGGCGATCAATATGTAAAATTCAATTTAGGAGGCTCTGACAAGCCTGTTTCCTTTCTGCAAAACTCAAACTTCTCTCTCGGTAGAGGTTTGGTCATCATGTCAGACATGTTGTCATCAATATGGATCTTCTCAACAACGAATGACTTCATCTCCATAGCATCTCGAATCCATTGATATCTAACCTCAATATGCTTTGATCGAGAGTGAAAAGTAGGATGCTTACTGAGATGGATTGCACTTTGACTGTCACAGTGCAACACAAAGTTCTCTTGAACTAAGCTAAGTTCATGCAAGAACTTCTTCATCCATAACAACTCTTTGCCTCCTTCAGTAAGAGCAATATATTCAGCCTCTGTAGTGGATAATGCAACACATTTTTGCAACCTTGATTGCCATGAGACTGCTCCCCCTGCAAACTTCATCAAGTATCCTGATGTGGACTTTCTAGAATCAACATCACCAGCCATATCTGCATCTGTGTAACCATCCAACACAGTTTTATCATTACCAAAACATAAACTGAAACTAGAAGTACCTTTGAGATACCTGAGTATCCATTTCACTGCTGACCAGTGTTCTTTACCAGGATTTGAGAGGAATCAACTAACCACACCAATTGCATGAGCTATATCCGGCCTTGTGCAAACCATGGCATACATCAAGCTACCAACTACGGATGCATAAGGAACCTTTTTCATCTCATCTTTTTCTTCATCACTTGAAGGACACTGCTTAGAACTTAGTTTAAAGTGGCTTGCAAGTGGAGAACAAACAGGTTTGGAGTTGCTCATGTTGAATCTCTCAAGTACCTTTTGAACATATCTCTCCTAAGATAGCCAAAGTTTTCCCTTCTTCCTATCACGTGTGATCTTCATACCAAGAATCTGTTTTGTTGATCCCAAGTCTTTCATTGCAAAAGACTTGCTCAACTCTTCCTTCAACATCTGAATCTTCTTAGCATCATGGCCAACAATCAACATATCATCCACATATAACAAGAGAATAATAAAGTTTCCATCTGGAAACCTTTTCATAAATACACAATGATCAGAAGTGGTCCTGTCATAACCATGATCCATCATAAAAGAATCAAACTTCTTATACCATTGTCTTGGAGCTTGCTTTAACCCATATAAGCTCTTTTTCAACTTACAAACTAGCTGCTCTTTACCTTTTGCTTCAAACCCTTCAGGCTGCTCCATGTAGATCTCCTCATCCAAATCACCATATAAGTTGTTCTACTTCAAGATTCAAACTAGCAGCTAAGCCAAGCACAACTCGGATTGAAGACATCTTGACCACTGGTGAAAAGATTTCTTCAAAATCAATACCCTTCTTTTGACCGAAGCCTTTCACAACCAATCTTGCCTTGTACCTTGGTTGTGAGCAATGTTCATCAATTTTCAACCTGAACACCCATTTGTTCTTGAGTGCTCTCTTACCTTTAGGAAGCTTCACTAACTCAAAGGTATGGTTTTCATGCAAGGATTTCATCTCTTCTTGCATTGCTTTCAACCACTCACTTTTTTTCTCATGTGACATAGCTTCATCAAAGCATTCCGGCTCTCCCCCATCAGTGACCAACACATACTCATGAGGAGAATATCTGGTGGAAGGTTGGCGAGGTCTAGTTGACCTTCTTAATTGTGGCTCATCTGGAGCTTCCTGCATAACCTGTTCAGGAATAACATCAACATCATTATTAGCTGCTTCAGGATCACCAACTAATGGCTCAATAAGAGAACCACCATTATCATCATTTTGCAAGTCTCCCCCATGATTAGCAAGCATCAAAGGTAACTATGGAGCAGGTCTTGGAGTTGAATTAGTTGGAATAAAAATAGTAGACTCTGTTTTCTCTTTCTGTTCAAAGTCTTTAATGGTTTGATCTTCAAAGAAGATAACATCTCTACTTCTTACAATTTTCTTCTCCTTTGGATCCCACAACCTATAACCAAACTCATCATCTTCAGAGCCTAAGAAAATGTACTGCTTTGTCTTGCTGTCAAGCTTAGACCTTTCATCTCTAGGAACATGTACAAATGCCCTGCATCCAAACACTCTTAAGTGTGCATAAGAGATATCTTTTCCTTTCCAAACTCTATCTGGAACATCAAATTCAAGAGGAATAGATGGAGAAAGGTTGATCATCGCAACTGCAGTCTTCATTGCCTCACCCCAAAAGGACTTAGACAGCTTTGCATGAGAGAGCATACATCTAATTCTTTCAACAATGGTTCTGTTCATTCTCTCAGCCACTCCATTCTACTGTGGAGTCTTAGAAACTGTCTTCTCCAACTTGATACCATGTTCCCTGTAGTACTTCTCAAAAGCACCCTTGTATTCACCACCATTGTCAGCTCGAACACATTTGAGCTTTCTACCAGTTTCTCTTTCAACTCTGGCATGGAAATCCTTAAAGACATCAAGCACCTGATCTTTGGATTTCAAACAAGTGGCCCAAATTTTCCTGGAGTGATCATCAATAAAACTAACAAAGTACAATGCACCCCTAAGAGACTTGTCAATCATAGAGCAAACATCAGTATGAACTAAATCAAGAACATGTGATCTTCTATGTGAAGGTGATCTTTGAAATGCAACTCTGTGTTGTTTGCCAACTAAACAATGAGTACATGTGTTCAAGTTCATACCTTTTAATGGAAGGTAGTTCTTCTTGGCAAGGATGCCAAGGCCTTTCTCACTTAAATGTCCAAGCTGCTTATGCCACAGATCAGTAGAGCAATCTTCAATTGCATTTGTGCGACCGCGACATCGCAACAAATTTTGGCGCCGTTACCGGGGAAGTAATTTTAGTTAATTCTTGTGCTTGTACTGTTATTTTTATTTACTGTGATTATTATTTATTATTATTCAGAAAAAAAAACAAAAAAAAGTTTTTTGATTGCGGCGGTACTGTTCACTTGCCGCAACGGTACTGTTCAAAACAGATTTGTTTGTGGAATTAGGGTTCGACCTTTTGTTTCCTGAAGGGAAATGACGTTTTGAACAAGACTAGTGGTAAAACCACTAACCTTACCATTTCGAGGCCAAATTCCACTGTTATCTAAGGTTTTTAGGCAATTTTAGTTTCCTAGCGTTGGATTTTCATATAATTTGCATTATTTTTCGTCTCTTGTGTGGTTTCTTTCTTTTGAATTTTCTTAGCAATTGATGCCTGTGACCCGTTCTACTAATCAAATTCAAGTGCAGGTTGATTTTGAAATAGAAAGCACTTTACGCAGGTTAAGAAAGGAAGCTCGCCTCAACACCATGGCTATTGCACGACAACAAACACTCAAGGAGCTTGCTGCTCCTAATGTGGAAAATCAGCCACTATGCATAAACATTGACAATAATGTAAACTTTGAGCTCAAATCTGGTTTTATACATTTGTTACCAACATTTAATGGTCTTGCAGGAGAAGATCCACATACTCATCTCAAGGAGTTCCATATGGTTTGCGTTGGCATGAAACCGAATGGAGTTGATGAAGAACAGGTTAAGTTGAAAGCTTTCCCTTTCTCTTTAAAAGGGGCAGCAAAGGCATGGCTTTTCTCTATTCTCCCAGGATCTATTGGAACTTGGAATGCCATGAAGAAGATTTTCCTTGAGAAGTATTTCCCAGCATCTCGAGTTGCCAACATAAGGAAAGAAATATGTGGGATTCGGCAATCTCATGGAGAGACACTCTCCGAGTATTGGGAAAGATTTGAGCGACTGTGCATTCAATGTCCTCATCATCAAATACCCGATCAGTTGCTCATTCAATATTTCTATGAAGGATTAATGCCTACTGACCGTAGTATCATTGATGCTGCAAGTGGAGGCGCATTGGTGGATAAGACACTCGAGGTTGCACGCCAATTGATCTCAAACATGGCAGCCAATCAAAACAGTTTGGCACTCATGGAGACTTCTCCAACAAATGAGTAAATGAGGTAAGTATTTCTAACATTGAGAATAAAGTTAATGATCTTACTTCTCTTGTGCGTTCTTTGGCTTGTGGAAATGTGCAACAAGTGAAAGTTTGTAGCATATGCTCCTTACAAGTACATACTTCACATATGTGCCCAACAATGCAAGAAGATTATATTGAACAAGCTCATGCAATTGATGGAGCATTCAACGGACAGCCCCAGCGTAA